CTTCACTTATTTTGATATTTGCATATATTACATTAAGAGAAAGCAAACTAAGCATATGAAAAAAAATATCATAAGAAGTAGAGAACTCATTGAGATTATTCATACTGATATTTGCGGACCACTCCATATTTCCTATTTATAAATAACCTATATAGATATGACTATGTGTATATAATACATGAAAAGTTTCAAGTTATTGACACTCTTTAAGTGTACATAAATGAGGTCGAGAGACAATTATATTATTATCAAAATCTAATAGGGGTAGTGAGTTTTATGATATATATGATTAATTAGATTAGAATATTAGTCCTTTTACTAAATTATTAAAAAATTAAGATATTTATACTTAATATACTTTCATAAGTATGCTATAGCAGAATGACATTACTAAAAGATTAAATCATATTCTTATAAACATGATTAGAAGCATGATGAGTTATTCCTTTATGCTTCAGTCAATGTGGGGTGAAGCAATGTGGGGTGACACTCTTAGGATAACTATATATATCTTGAATATGATTTATAATAAGTCAATTCTATTAACTCCATTTGAGTTAAAGATTGATAGGAAACCCAATCTAAGACATCTATATATTTAAGAGTGTGTTGTAGAGATAAGAGTCTTCAATCCACATGAAAGGAAATTGAATCCAAGAACTATTTTTGGATATTTTATTGGTTATCCAAAAAAATCCAAGGGATACATATTTTATTACCCTAATTATAGTACGAGAATAGTAGAATATTGTAATGTAAGATTCTTAGAAAATGATAGAATTAATGAGAGTAAAAAAATCTTAAAGGATCAATTTTGATATTGAAGAGGTAAAAGTTTATTCTCCTTTATCATCTCCTATTCGAGATATTATTATTTCTCAAATCATTGAAAGAATTGATGAGGGTGAATAACAAAATAATATTGATGAACTCTCATATGATATTAATATCACCGCTAATAATCTTGTAGAACAACTACAATCGATAGTTTTGATAATATCTCAAAAGAAAAAGAAATATGTTATTTCTGATGATTATGCAGTATATCTATAAGAATTAGATTACGACAAAGGGATGAAAAGGGACCCCTTATTGTTTTCACAAGCCATGAAAATTAATGATTCTAAAAAGTGGTTTGATGTCATAAAAGAAGAGTTAAAATCGATAAACTAGAATGATTTTTTAGAACTCGTTGAATTATTCAATAACTATAAAAGAGTCGGTTGCAAATAAGTCTTTAAGACAAAACACAACTTAACGGAAAATATCGAACAATATAAAGGCAAACTTATGACCAATATTTTTCTCATAAAGCATCAATTACAATAAGACCTTTTTTTCGACTTATAAAAAAGACTCATTAAGGATCGTCATGACATTAGGTAGCTCATTATGATCTTCAGTTATATCAGATGGATATGAAAATAATATTTTTGAATGAGGATCTAGATAAGGAAATCTATATGGATCAACTTGAAGGATTCATAGGAAAGGAAAATGAAAGTTGGGTTTACAAACTTAGGAAATATATTTATAGCCTTAAGCAAACTTCTAGACAATGATATATAAAGTTTCATAATATTTCTTTGGATTTAAAGAAAATATTATTGATCAATGCATATATCTAAAGGTTAGTGAGAGCAAGTTCATTATATTTGTCTTATGTATTATTGATATTTTGCTTGCTAGTAATGATCTTGTCTTATTGTTCGAAACCAAGATATTTCTCAATAAGAATTTTAAGATGGTTGATATGGATGAGGCAATATATGTTATTGGCATTGAGATATTCAGGAATAGATCTAAATGATTGTTAGGACTGTCTTATAAAAGATATATTAACTGAGTCTTAGAGAGATTTAATATACAACTTTGTTTAGCCAATGATACACCTATGACTAGAGGTGAAAAATTTAGTCAAAACCAATGTTTGAAAAATGACTTAGAAAAGAATCAAATAAAAGATATTTCTTATGCAATGCAAAGTTAGAAGTTTATTATATGCTCAAATATATACAAGACTAGATATTAGTTTTGCAGTTATAATGCTGGGTAAATACCAGAGCAACCCAGGAATGAAACATTGAAAAGCTGCAAAGAAAGTAATGAGATATCTGTTGGAGATAAAAGATTATATAATACTTATATACAAGAGATTAGATTAGCTTAAAGTGATGAGATATTCAAATGCTGATTTTATAAATTATCTCGACCGTAGAAAGTTCATTTTAGGATTTATATTCATGTTGGTTGAAGGGAAAATTTCTTAAAAAGGTATAAAGCAATCGCTTATTGCATCATCAATAATGAAAATTGAATTTGTGACGTACTTTGAGGCCACAAATCAAGTTTTATGGTTGTGAAATTTCATCTCATGACTTTGTATGGTTGAGTCAATTGTTAGGTCGCTAAATATATTTTGTGATAACACCATAGTAGTTTTCTTTTATAAAAATGGTAAGTACCTTAGTGGTTTCAAACATATTGAGATAAAGTACTTAGTGGTTATATAAAGAGTCCAGAAACAATAAGTATTAATTGAGAACCTAAGCACTACTATGATAATTGTTGATTCCTTTACTAAAGTTTTATAGTCTAAAATATTTAAAAAATATATTGTTGGGACTTGTGAGCAAGCTAAAAAAAGATATAATAATGAATGTTTAGGAGGATATTATTATTGATATTTTTTTTACTCAACTAAAATTATTTATTTTTGTTATCTTATTTATATTCATATTTATACATATTATACTTAAATATAATAATAGGATTATCTTGATAAGATAAATTATAGGGATCATTGTGGACTATATTAGGAAAGACTAACAATCTTGTGGTATATAAAAGAAAGTATGACATTGATGATATACAATCACTATAACTCACATTAATAGTTGAACCTAATATAGTATTATTATATTTATTGGACTTATTAGTTTATTTTTTAAAATTCATGATTAGATATAAAAAATACTTTTCAAAATTTTTAGAATCTAATTAGGTAAAATTATTTTCAAACAAATTTTTTTTTAATTATTTTAATTTTGAATCTCTTTTATATCTTATTAATTAATGGGCTAATTAGGATAATATTAAATTATGTGGCTCTATTTAATTGATAAAATATATTATAGATTGATTAGATTATGATGAAAGTTATAATTAATAGAAAAGAAGTCTATATTAAGATAGTATTTGTTAGAAGATGTTGGGAGAAACTATCATAATTATTTATCCTATATCCTCTACTCTCACCTATATATAAATAGAATCTCTAGGTACTAAATGACGTATGACGTATATGACACATGATATATTACGGACGTGGATACATGACAGTCATTATGAGATTATGGTTCCTCTAATCCATCAATCTAAGTGGTCAGGTAAAAAAAACAAAAAAGAGCCTAGTTTTCAAATCCAAAGATAGTAATTTATAGATCGACACCCTATAAATCTGATAAAGTTCTTACCAAATGATCTCTGATGTCATAAATTCAATCGTTATTTATTTGAGATAAAAATTTCAAACATATAGCATATTACATATTTACATATTTTATGCTGAACCTCTATCTTAATCTATCTAAGAAAAGAAAAGCCAACTTCTCCACCATTTCGTTCCTTTCAAATACACTAATGAACTTTTCTTCCTTTTGCAGATTTCTTATATATATATATATATATATATATATATATATATATATATATATATATATATATATATATATTGTTTCACATGTTTGATTAATTTACATATTCTGAATATAAATTCTGAACCACTGTCTACTTGAACAACTTCTTTCTTTCTTTGTTTCGAACCTGTGTTCAGTTGTTTTCTGCTACGTTTGGTTTAACTTTTCAATATATTTCTCTTAAAGTTAGATAAATCTAGTTCTTGATTCTAATGTTTTGATGTAAATGTTATCAGAGTGTAGGTTATGGTGGCAGAAGATGATGACATCTCATCTGCTGTTTGATGGGAGACCAATAGAGCTCTCGGATGACATTTCTGCTGTTCTTCAAGAATCCATCATATCATACGAGAATGGGTGCTTTGGTAGGTACTTCGTTCCTTTCTAAATTTATCTGGAATTTGATTAAAGAATATTTAAAACTCGGTTTAAGGAGATCGAGTAAGCTCAAATACTAAATTAAAATTTTATTCAATGTCATCTCAAATCCAAACATGATGAATGACTATCTCAATTCAAACATAATTTGTATCATAAATTACTTCCAAAAGTATTGGAATCCAATTTAAATGGGTTATACATAGGCTTCGATACCGAAATGAAAAAGAGAGAGAGGAAAAAAAAACCTATTTGCCTTACTTACGACTAACCAATTGAGTTATACATATTAAGGATTAGGTTGATAAATATTTTAGGAGTCTTAATATGATTTAAAAATTAAAGTTGAAAAAAAAATCATTTATGATTTAAGATTTATTTATAAAAACCTAATGTGTCTATAGCTGTGGGTAAGATAGCAAGATATGATAAAAAAAACAAAAAAAAACTTTGGTACTCTTCGAGTTTGTGAGAGAAAAGATGAGAATTTTTGTTTTTAAGGTTTATGTCCGAACATTGAATTTGCAATGAAAGATGCCATAGCCATGGGGGCTGTAAATGGATCGGATCTTAGTTCCATCCGATTCAGCATCTGATCCAAATGACCAAATTTGGACCAACTTTGAGATACGTGAATCCGAATCTCAACATTATGGATTTGGTCGAGCTGGATACCACGGGGCTCTATCTCGAGTCTGCAGAGGTTCGTCGCGCCGCGTTTCGGACCGAATTCTTGGGACCTAGAATCCGAATCCGATTCCTTTGCAATCATTTGTAGTACGGATCTCGGGAAATGGAATCCGAGTCCGATCGATTTGCAATCGGGTTCTAGCAGTTAAGATGATGCTTTATAACGGGAAGCGTGTAACGGTTTCGGGGCCTCATTCCGCTCATTGTAAATGGGGTCTTTATATAGCCCTCGACAGCGGCCCGTGGCGTAGGAACCCCGCTTAAACCCTATTCCTCGCCGCTTCGCCGTCCCCCCTCTCGGTCGTCGGGTTTGTGGAGGGAAACGGTAGCGGCTGGTCACTCGGTCGTCAATCCTCGTCTCGCTGTTGCTCCTCAGCGCCTTCTTCTTAGCGATTCTGCAGTGGCTCCTCCATTCCTTTCCTTTTGTTGGGATTGTGAACTGTAATCATCTGTGCAGCTGATGTCCCTGGAATTTGACCCGTAGAGAGTCGATCTTTTGCCTTACGGCTCCTTTTTCTTTTCTGTCTTTTCTCTTGCCTTTGCCCTTTGGAGGCTTGAAGCCTTACACCAGGAATAGCCAAAGATTGCTATTTTGTTGTTTTACACTCATCTTCTAGTAGACTGGGTACAAGTCGCAATTCATTCTAGAAAGACTGTATCTTTAGGGTTATTTTCTATTGTGCTCTTTCTTGAGAGCACATTTTTGCTCGCCCAGAGGATTTAGGTTGCTTTGCTTCCAAAATGCCGCTTGGGCAGAGGCCAGGGGACAAAAGTGAGTCACGGTATTGTGGAGTGGAGACGGAATTCCATGATGATATGCCTCATCTCCTCACTGAAAGCCTTTCTGGTGGTTTTGACTTCATAGTAGCTCCTCTGGTTGGTAACGTTTTCCTTCTCTTTTCTTTGATCCTTATTTGTTGTTGACAAGTGAGTTCTCATATTAGGATTGGATGCTCTACTTTAAGCTATATGAGGAGCAGGAATTATTCTTAGATTAAAAAAAAAATTCTTAGATTTGATTTTCTGCGTAAATTCAATATTCCTGCTCTTTTCTTGGGTCTAAATAATTCGTGACTTTGTAATGGTAGCTGAAAGCTACCAGTGGACAAGAAAATGATTTAATTATTGTCAATTAGCCAATCCAATAGAAGTCAGGCACACCAGTCTATGAGTTTGTGTGAGTGGTTTATAAGCACACCAACAATGTTGAAATTATGGTATTTAACTTCGAGTGGTATGAATTGAGACTCTTCGTCAGATGCCTTTACTGCTGTTTGTATGATTATGTTTTGAGCAGTTTTTTAGTTATCCTTAATGGCCCCTTGCACTCTCTTATTTCGGAAGATTGCCTATTAAAAAACTAATACACTTCAGTGCCGTAATGCACATTGAAGCATCTACACTAGATTATTTTTATTGTCTCTGCTTCTGATCATATGGAATAATAAATCAGACATTCAAGAAAATCCTGAATTTCCACTTCTGAATAGCAAGCATCTTTATGTATTCTTTTTAGTCTTTTGAGTACTGTGTGGATGTAAAGGAGTGGCAACCCAAAAGATATTTTCCGCTTTTGAGCCATAACAAAAGAAAGGAAGTTGCAAAGGTCATTACATATCTGTGTGTCTGTAAACGTAACACTGTATGAAAAGTATCATCTTGTATGGCAGACGTTCTTTCATGATTGTATATTTATTACTAGGAGTCACATTGTAGTCAGAACACTTCTAACAGAATTATACTGATCAGTGGTTAGCTTATACTAGCTATTAATGTATTATCGTGTAGCATTCTGAACATAAAAGTTATAATCAACCATAAAACTAGCTGGTATATGCTTCAACCTTTTTCTTTGGTGTCTTTCATCTCTTCTATAACCTATTTTATCATCTCTTTGAATGGACTATCAGCAACATATAATCTGGCTGCTTTATTACAGATTTCTTATAAGTTTGGTTGCATTTAAGTACTACAATCTTTATGACATGCTATTTTGAAACTTGTGCTGATAGTGAAGGATTTGATGCATCAAGGTAGTTCGTGATGTGTACATATTTATCATACAAGTTGTATGTTTATCTGCATGTATAAATCTGTTTGACCCTCTTATCTCTGAACCTCTTGTAGAACTGCCTCTTTCTGATCTATATTTCTTAGAAATTATAAGGAACACATTAAGCAAGGAAGTCTGAGAAAATGCAATTTCTAATGTTGTGTTTGTTAATCTCAAAGGCTTACATTTTTTATAATCCCATCTAGTTGATACTGATCTTTGTCTTTGTCATTGGTCAGATTCATACTTATTTGTTGACTGCTTGGTGCAGATTGATCCTAGTTATAGGCCTAGTTCCACGAGTAATGGAGGAAGTGGTTCTTTGGTTTTACCTGTTGCAGCATCTGACTTAATTCTTAGCCCTTCACAATGGAGCAGTCATGTTGTTGGTAAGCTTTGTATGCAATCAGTGTCTGTGCAGTTTACATGGGTATATCTTGATGTTTATGCTGTTCATTTTCAGACTAAGTACCTTCAGGCTTGTAGTTGTCATAGGTTTTCCCTTCTTAAGAGTGGGCTAAGCCAATTAATTTTCATAATAAGTACAATCAGGCTTTTAGTTTTATTCATTATAAGTACACATGTAAAAAAAAGGTGAATGTCTTTTAGTTGTCATATGTTTTTCTTTCTCCTCTCTGAAGGGTGGGTTAAAACCAAGGATTTTTAATTTCGAATAATATCGCCCGTACTGGGTGGTACATATCGGCCCGCCACTAGACCGGTATGTGGACCACTCGCTACCTAGCGACACAGTCGATTGGGGCTGCTTCTGCCTCATTACCACCCTAAATTGATCGATGGTAGTCGATTTCGCCCGTCGCTGCCCGCTACCAGGTGATATTAGCCAAGGGATAGCCGAGGGAGAAGAAAAGGGAGAACCTGGAGATCCGATGCCACTCTCCCTTGACGGTCCTGATCCGTCCTCGCCCTCCCTCGATGGACGCGACAGACGAGATGTCGCCTCCTCGTCTAAGGTGACGAGGCCTTAGCGTCGTCGGTGACTTTTGCTCATCTGCGCAAGGAGAAGAAGCCTCAACGACGTCGTGGGGAGAAGAAACAGAGTGTTGTCGAGGCGACATTTCTTCTCCCCACGTGGGAAGAAGAAACGAGGCGACGAGGCGGCGATGTCACCTCATCGCCCTTTTTTGCGGGGGGAGAAGGAAACCTCGGATTCTTCTCCCCATGCGTGCAGTAAAAGGAGGCGACGTCGCCTTATATATATACCGAGCGGTATATATAATAAACATTTTCACCGAAATGTCACGGACTTAGCTGGTTTTGGCTAAGTCGTGTGGTACCCTTGCGTGTCCGTCCGCAAAGGTCAGCCTCCCATGGTCCCTTAGGACCTACAAAAGAGAAAACGGGTTAGAGAAAATGCCTCACTCGGGATCCACATGCAAACATTTCCGAAAACACTTCATAGACAATGCAAATTACAAATAGACTTTACAAGCTCTGAACGGTTGCATAACAAAGTGTCAAAATGGTCCACTACAGACCAAATACCTCTCACAAGTGTCCACATGACATAACCTTTATTTACAAGCCTAAGAAGGCCACCAAACCTAACTAAAATGGGGCTTTTAAGCCTTCGACCATCCCTCTACATGCTGTGCAAAGCATGAACAAACCAAAAGACACGGACATATATAAGTATTACATCAAACATCCTGTTTAGAACTTTGTCCGTGACATTCTCCCCCACTTATTCCTTCGACGTCCTCGTCGAAGCCTTTTGCCGACACTGCAACTCCTCGCCTTTACTGAATCTTCTATCTTCTGCTTTAGCTGCAATGCGCCTCTTGGCTCCCAGCTGCTCTTCGCTGCTGTTGTTGAGTAGTCGAACTTTTGATTCGCTATGCTGTTTCAACTCGCCAATGACTTTGACTCTAGTGTGGGGTTGGCTGAGTTGTGTTGATCCTTGTTGATTCCTTCGGATCATCCAGATGAAGGAAAAGATCATTCTTACTATGTGCCAGTCTCTCAAATACCACATGCTGCTTGAACTGGGTGGATGCTTGTTAGAACTTTAACGAGCATCACCTCGCAAACTTTCGAAGTTTTGGGTCATTCCTCCACAAAATGTCCATCGACTCTTCTTTCATTTAGTTGTCACTTCCAAGTAGATTCGCATCACTTCCGCTTTCGATTGACATTCTGTTGGGAAATAAAGCGGATAATTTACTCTCAATAGCATTGATCATCATTGGTGAGGATTTGATAACTATTGTCTTCTATTATCTTCGAAGGGTCTTTGAACCTATGCAACGCTCCTCTGCTGGATAGATAAGAGAATTGAGGTACTCGGTTTCGCCCATTCTCTTAAGAGTTTGAGAAGGCAATGGTTACTTGGCTTCGCTCGCCTTCTCAAGGGTTGTACTCCATGCATCGAGCTGGTTACTGACCTTCGCCTACTCTTTGCTCACACTTTTGAAGCACTCGAAGTGTTTGCACTCCTTGCATTGAGTTAGCTACTGTGATTCACCTTCTCAATGCCATCGAATTTCTGGAATGCAGGAAGTTTTCACCTCAACTTGGAGTAATTCTCTAATAGATTTGGTCACCTCTGGGATTGTACCGTCTTCTTCATCAACCCTGTCGCCTACTCCACTGAGTAGCAAAGGTACAACATCGCGTATTGCCTGTTTCGTTCCTTGGTCGTGCACTCTTGCATGACTTGAAGTCCTTCACTTTTGGCTATCTTGATGAGGAGCTCGTTGACACCGGTTTTACGAAGTTCCTTGGCTTCTGCCCTTCAACCTTGTCTCGGTACTTATAGTTTGCCTCTGCATGCTCCACCTCCTCAGCCCCTTTCACGACCAAGCGCTCTCCCTCCATGAGAGCAAGGGATCAATGACTTTCACGGATGTCCCGCCTCTGCAGTACCATGGCGTTGTCATGCCCATGACCCTATTATCCGTCGCTTCGCATCTGCATCCATTTTTTTTCATGATAAGTAGATATGTCTCTGTGGCACTCCTCCGAGTCTACCTCTATTCTAACTGATGCTTGATTTTGGGTAGTTAAGTCCCTCTGGACTCGTCGTCGTTTCCTCGCTTTTCCTTTCGACCCTCTGCTTCAACACCTTTGTGTTCTCCAAGCAGCTCCCTTTGGTCGATGGAAAGACAAACTGCAACTCCCATGCATGGCCTCTGCCATCACGTTGTAGGGTTTGCACCAATTCTGTTCTCCTTAGCTTCCTTGGTAGCAACGTTCGCTTACTCGACCTTGTCCTCTGACTTGCCGGGCTTCCTTAAGCGAATATGGGCTCTGGAGCAGCCCAACTCTCAAACTGCTTCGATCATACCTCTGCATGATCAAGTCCCTCCCATGGGACTCACTGGTACTTGCATTCGAACTTTTCCCTCGGTGGAACACAGCCCTTATATGCTGATAACTAAGGCTTTTATCTGATGCAAGATTCGATGCACGCACGGAAGACCCGCCTCTGCGGTACTATGACCTTCAATCCTTGTGTATCGCATTGCCACGAATTGTTCCACCACGATCCGCTGCACTATGTCGCCTCCTAGTGACATCTCCATTGCATTCTGATCCTAGTGGGATGAACTCGAATTGTGATCCTTCCATGTGTGGCCTTCGCCATTACATCGTAGGGTCTCTTCCACCTTCGATTTTGTTCGCTCCTTTGGCAATCGACCTTCGGCCACCCACTCTTGGGTCACACCTAGATGAAGCACCGCTCTAGGACAATCCGTCGCCTAGTAGCTCCCGAAGTCTACCGACTTCGTTGAAAATGGTGCACCATTGTCTGGATCTTGGGCCTTTGCCCCTACTAGCACAATCTCTGCTGTGCACCGCTTCCTTCATGGCAACTTGAATGGCAACACTGTGATATATTCTTCAAGAGTACTTGCCTCCGCGTCCTTTTGCCTCGTGCCAAGGCCTTCTGAACCCAACTTCGCCTCCACAAGTTGAGTCGCCTTAGTTCCTCCATCAAATACTTCTTCGAGATAAGGTGCATGTGCCCATAAGCTCCCTTTGTCTTTGGCACCATGTAAGATGAGTCCGCTCCATTAACATGAAGGACCCATGGAACAACATGATCCTGCTCTTGCCTCTGCAAGAGTTCATGTCCTTGACCTCTATCCAAGGAAAGCTCTGTGCCTTCACGCTATGTTCCATCTTCTATGTCGGCTCTTTTCATGCGTCTTGGGTACTTCGCCAAGTTACACCCAACTTGCTCCGCTCCTCGTTTTTGCATTGAGTTGATGGTGGCTCTCGCGCCCATCATTCCACGGTTCAGCCCTTCCTTGAGTCTGATCTCCATATTGACTCTAAGTGTGCCTTCATTTGTGTTGCATTGGGTCGCTCCCCCACTTGATCTCGCAATGTATCCACCAATGCATTCTCTCAAGCGAGATCATGCGACAACTCCTCGTCGCTCGCTTGGTCCATTGTGTTTCGTGGAGTTGTTTTTTTTTAGGTACTCCTCAACATGTGCGGTCTGTTGCACATGATTCTCCCTCTGGAGAGCCGGGACTTATCCCTCCTGGATATCTATCCCGTTGGAGCAACATCTCTCTTCGTTTCGGAGACCACCATCCCCTTTGACTACTCCGATTTGCTAAACAAACTGCGCATTGTTTTGCCTCTTGCAAACACACTTGCTAGATTGCGACTCCACGTCAATACAGCCCCCACTGCACCACTCAAGGCCTAGCAACATGCTGAACTCGCTGCACACTTCAGCCTCCTAAGGACGTATCCTTCACATGCCGAAGAGAAAGTTTCAATGCTCCATGGTGTCGAGTTTCGGTCGCCTTAGGATGGCCACGAACATTCCATCGTCTGCATACAAGCCCTTGCATGAGTATCGAATTCTTCGAGTTAGCAATTCCCCTCACCTCTGTGAGCTTTGCACAACTCTTTCGATCGCTGAGCAACTCATTTCACCTTGCATGGTCTCATCCTTTACCAAGTGTCTCGCTTGCCTTGAGCACCATCAAGTATAGTTGTCAACGTTGAGTCGTAGCTCAAACTCAGCCATCCCAACCTTTATGCGCTCCGCATTCTTCCAAGCTTGCTTGTTCTCGTTGTGCCTCTTGCGCGAAGGGTTGACCATCCCTTTGAATGCCAATCTCAGATGCCCGCTCCTCCGAATGACTCCTTTTCCCTATATCTCCATGCTCGTTTTCCCCCAAACGATCGCGCGTGTGCTGACTGCCCTTAACGCAGTCCCGCTAGGTCCCCCACGTTTGCATGCCAAGTGTTTCTATGAGTGTTTGTCCCGTTCTGATACCATCCGTCACGAACTTAGTTGGTTTTGCTTAAGTCGTGTGGCACCCTTGCGTGTTCGTCCGCAAAGGTCAGCCTCCTCGAAGCCTCCCATGGTCCTTTAGGACCTACAAAAGAGAAAACAGGTTAGAGAAAATGCCTCACTCGGGATCCACAAGCAAACATTTCCGAAAACACTTAATAGACAATGCAAATTATAAATAGACTTTACAAGCTCTGAACGGTTGCACAACAAAGGGTCAAAATGATCCACTACAGACCGGATATCTCTCACAAGTGTCCACATGACACAACCTTTATTTACAAGCCTAAGAAGGCCACCAAACCCAACTAAAATGAGGCTTTTAAGCCTTCGATCGTCCCTCTAAATACTGTGCAAAGCATGAACAAACCAAAAGACACGGACATATATAAGTATTACATCAAATATCTCGTTTAGAACTTTGTCCGTGATAGAAAGGTGGGAATGTGAAACTAGGATGTGAGGAGAATAAGAAGCTGGGAAGATCACAGGTGGTCAGGTAACAGGCTCATCAACAACGATTATATCAAAAAATTGGGAGGAAATATATAGAATGATATACATGAAAAAATTGAGAATTTTTTGGTATTCGGCATAATTTTTGAAACTTGTGCTGGAATTGTGGTATTTTAAAGGATTGAAGTGGTAAATAAGTAAAAGAACTTCAAAGATGAAGAAATGATGTCTATGAACTTATTTCTGATGTGTTGTAGTTTAGAATTAATTCATGAACAAGGCTATATTCTTATTTAATTTGTGACAATCCTTTCCCATAGTATATGAAAAAGTAGTTTGGAGTTTACTTTATCGGATAATTTTACCCATATCAAGCATTTCTATTTATATATATGCAAATTATTATGTCTCTAAAGTTGGATAATTGGGTTAATGGTCCCAAACTTCTGCCCATAATATAGTGCTTTAGATTTAAAAACATCATTTTAGTAACAGCGTGTGATTTTAATTTCCAATTTCAAGAAGCTGTTTGTTCTGTTAAATGGTCAAGCTTTCATGTATACACAAATGGAGATTTCACTGTTCAGCACACAAACTTGGTCATTATTATAATGTCACTCCAAGTTATATAATCACAAACTCATAACAGTATGTTGTTTGAAAAATTCAGTCTATGACCAACTTGTTTGTCACTTAGTTGTTCCTGGTTCGGTTCTTATACTGATACATTTCATCGCATGTTGCACAAATCAAGGTTCACAATTTCGTGTATTTGTGATGTACCAATCAGGGTAAGAACTGAAACCATATCATTGTACCGAGTCTTGGTACGCCGATACCTACTGAGTCTTGAAAAGAGACTGAAAAAAAGCAACTGGTTTTTTTTTCTCTACACATTCTCACCATTGCTAACCAAGTTGTAAGTGACAAAAAAGGCTACAAATCAATGTATGGTTTGGTTCAAATTATGTACTTGAAGGACCACTAGATTATCATGATTATCAAATCTATAGATATTTGTGCTTCCAAAACTTAATAAGCTAAAATTAAATGATCATGTGTTACATATTCTCTGTCACTTGCTAATCTTGTTACAGGTTAATAAATTATGTTATTTTGCTTGCCTGTTAGCCTGCAGGGATGTTGTTTATTGGTTGACAGAAGTGTTTTAACTTTTTGTCTAGGTAAAATTAGCTCATGGATTGACTTAGATTCGGACGATGAAAAAGTTCGATTAGACTCAGAAATTACATTGAAGCAAGAAATTGCATGGGCTTCACATCTATCCTTGCAGGTTTATACTCTTGCAAGTCTTCTGTATTCATATCCTGTTATGGGTTACTATTGTGATGGTAGAAGAGTTTGTGACAGTCGTTTGCCTTCTCTTTCTTCTTATATATTTGGATCTTGGTGCATGCCTATTTATGCATGACTTTTTGCCTAGCACCCATGCCAGATATCCTTATCTAATCATCCATAACAGTGATGTATCTATTTTCTTAGAGATTCATGTGAGATAGATACTATCTGTCCTTAAGATAGTCAAAGATGAAGTTTGCTACATGGAATCCTTGATAATGTTTTGAACAGTTAGATGTATCCTTGATGGAGGATAGAATAAGGTAAAACCTAAGGCATGCTATCTCATACTGGGTAGGTCCCAAGCTGGACTATCTGGACCGCCAGTATTGGTGTATTGTGTCGGTATACCGATATGTACCGGAGATGAAGGAGAAAAGAGGATGGAAGAAGAGGAAGCATGGAGGAGGAAGAAGACGAGGCGTGGAGGAGGAAGGAGGAAGAGGAAGGAATAGGAGTAGGCGGCAGAGGAAGGGGAAGAAGCATACCTAGAAAAGAGGTTGGTGGTGTGCAGTGGGCGGCATTAGACGATAGCGAGCTCTACACATATGGAGAAGAGGGCTCGCGATTTGTGAAATTGTGAGCCATAATTGAAGGTTCTTTTTAGAGAAAATGGACTGGACTGGACTGCCCGAAATGGGGGTAGTCCATGTACCAGTTCACATTCAAACTGGTAAATATTGTTTGATACAGACTAGTCCTAGCAAAATTGCAATCCTTGGTAAAACCATTTAAGATGGGATTTTAATTTTCAATAGGAGATACATAGATGCAATGGATGGATGAAGTGAGTTGATCAGAATCAATGGGTCTAGGGGAGATAGAGGTAGATCTAAGAGGACTTTACTAAAAACATAAAAAAAAGCAGTTGATTGCATTTAATTTAACTGCCAGCGTTGCCTTATATAAAGCTGAATGTTGTGAATTAGGACATTGGTCATTAGTTGTTGTTGCTGATACTTGAGATAACTTGTTCTCTCCTCTACATGCCTCTAGCATTAAAATGATAATATACTTCCAAATATGTATTGCAGGCTTGCATTTTACCCCCTCCTAGGAGAGCTTCTTGTGGTAATTATGCAAAATGTGTAAATCAAATCTTGCAAAGTACAAATAACATGCAGGTATCTTCCCACAGCTAAATCTCTTATTTGCATGACAATGCAGTGTTGCACTCTTTTATAATTCTTATAGTCTGTACCAAAATTTGTCTATTTTATATTTCTTATTGTGCTCTTTCTTTTATAAGTTGTGGCTTAGGGTACCATTGGAGAAGTCTGAACCCATGGATGATGGTTCTGCAAATGCAAACTCTGACTTTTCAGTAAGTGCAATTGTGGATACCTTGTCTGGTTACTTGTTGACTACTTCATGGTTGATCAATTTACAGCTATCTTTTTACTCTAAATAATTGTTTTTGTTAAGATGAAACCTATTAATGATGCATAAAGCTTAGTAATTACAGCTAATTGAGCCAGTCTTTAGTTTTGGTCACTAAAATCACAACATTGTTCTAAGAACTGATTTGCCTATATTGCTTCCAGTGTCATGTCTGATCTTCTCATTGGAAATCTTCCTTTCATAAGCTATGGTTATCACCCACTGATTTCTGCAGGGCGGAAGAATGTTTGATTCATGGGAGTGGTGGAACTCTTTTCGGCTGCTATGTGAGCATCACAGTCAACTATGTGTAGTTCTTGACATTTTGTAAGTGAGAATGATCATGTTTTTTTTGTTCCTTTACCATATTTTTGGTAGCCACAGTAATTTACCTGAAGTACATTTTGGTTCTCAAAGTTGGATTCTAAGTTGGAAAACATGAATCAGGAGTTCTCTGCCATCGAATAACTCCATTGGACGGTGGTTTGGAGAACCAGTTAGAGCAGCTGTCATTTATACCAATGTACATTTTCTCAGATTTGAAGGCTAAATTTGGAATGTACCCCTAAATTGATTGTTTTGTTTGTATTTGAAATTCTCATTAGTTTATATTCTTGTTTTAATAGTCCTTCTTAACCAATGCAAGAGGATACCCTTGTCTTTCAAAACGACATCAGAAGTTAATAACGGAGTTCTTCAATCATTCTGTTCAGGTGAGTTTTTCTAATGATTTATGTTTGTTGTTTATCCATTAATTAACATAAAAGAGATTTTCCTATGTCTTATATTGGAAGTGTTTTTGTAATTATCAGCCTGTGTTTTCCATGTTGGCTGTAAATATTCTCCAATCACTGATATTTTTGTGTTACTTTTTTCTAGTATGATATGTAGTAAGTGAGCTTAATAGATGCAAAGTTGGTTTTGCTCATCCTACAAATCCTCCTCACTCAATGTTTTTATTGTAGATAGTAATTTCTGGAGGCTTGCTTCACAACATCTCTGGTGAAAGCATCAAAGCTTTGCCTGCTAATGATGATGATAGTCATCTTGAAGGTTAGAAATTTTGTCATGAATCATTGGAGCTGCATAGTGTTTGAAGTTGTCTTTTATTTTTTTCATTCATTTGCATGCTTATTTGCACCTAACGTAGCGTGCATTTTGATCAATCTCCCTTAAAAAGCCACCTTCTTTCATTAGTTATGCCTACTCGGCATGCATTGAGGCCTTACCTGGATTATATTGCATACTTATACCAACGGATGGATCCTCTTCCTGAGCAAGAACGTTTTGAGGTTGTAATTACTATCAGGATTTTGATGTAGTATTTTATTACTGCTCCTGTCATTATTAAACTTATTTAAGTCTTCTTACAGCTTGGCTATAGGGACTTTCTGCAGTCTCCATTGCAGGTAAATTTTATTTGCCATATTCATCAATCAGTTATTGATTAGCTCCTGTCAATGAAAATCTTAATGGTCATAGCTCTATTTTGTTACAGCCTCTTATGGATAATCTGGAGGCTCAAACTTATGAGACATTTGAAAAAGATATAGTTAAATATAGTCAGGTTTGTTTCCCATATCATTATCTATTTTGTGGATGCAATAAGAGCATCTGAATTTCTGGTACAGCACTTCTTGGATATGACTATATGATCCTGTATGACAATATATTTCACTAACACTTGGTAATACTTGTTACAAATTGCTACCAGTTTATGTATGAGGTTTACTATGTATTGCTAATTATCAGCTTCACTTTATTAAAAATTGATGATAAACGCATGTTCAAGTGAGTGAAATTTCTAGTTAATCTTTATGACATTTTATTGGCTAAAAAGAATTACCCAGTGTATCCTGTATGTATAGTTATTTTGCTATATTAGCTCATCTTTTTAGTTTAGCTCAAGTATGGGGCTTAGTTGTGTTATATGTTACAGTACCAAAGAGCAGTTTGCAAAGCTTTGATTGACAGGGTCCCTGATGAGAACGCATCAACAAAAATAATGGTGAGATTTAATTCACATCTGTCTTGAATTTTCCTTTAGGTGTGTGGTGTTTCGACATGTTAAATAGATAATTTTATTGTATTATGATGCATTCTGTTATCTTTATTCTAAAATGACCAACATTTATTTTCATCTACACAAGGTACTAATGGTTGTGGGAGCTGGAAGAGGACCACTTGTAAGAGCATCTTTGCAGGTAGTTTCTTTTGCCTCAACATGACTTTCACATTTGAGAAGAATTTGGCTCGAAAAAAATCCTCTTCAAATGGTATCTTAAAGGAAGAAATCTGTCAGATGGCTATAAGACCACCATGTTTGATGAGCGTCCTCTTTAAAACGTGGGTTCACACATGCACCCACCAATAGTTTTTTCCATTCTTTTAAGTAGAGAAACCACCGGTGAATATACAAAACCACCCTAGGAAGCAGGACATATTACCAGAACTGCATTCGACTGTGTATATCATGTTGTAAGACTTGTAATAGTTTGAAATAATGACAACTTGCCTATAGTGAATATTTGATGATATATGAGATCTTCTTTGGGCTTGCCACTTAAAGGAACTTATATTTTGGTCATTTTCTGTTAAGTAATCCCTTCTCTGGATTATTGTTGGCCAGTAACTTCTCGTTTGGTTCCTTTAGGCCATCTTGGACAGGTTATATTTAAAATGGTCTTTTAGGTTATTTCTTTGGCGAATATTTTCTGGTCTTGTTTATGCTTCTCATCAACTCCAGACATTTTTACATCTGCATAGTACAACTATTTGGTCTAATTCTTACCATATAGAAGTGTTCTTATCAAATTAAGTGGTGATGAAGCTTCCTACCTTGGAATTTTCA